GGGGGCTAGGGATATATCTCAGTGTTCAGAGAGCCCCTGAGTTCAGTCCTCAGCACCACAGGAAGAAAACGAAAAAGAGAAGTGATTTGGATTTACTATTCTAGGTTTGGGGGCTTAAGGTTTTGTTGGTTTTATTTGGTTTTGTTGAGCCTAGGTTAGTTTTATGTTGTTGCTGTTTTTGTGCTTGCAGTTTTTTGTTTTATTTTGTTTTGTTTTTTGGAGTGGGGAGACCTGGAGAGAGGAGTGCTGGAAATTGAACTCAGGGAGGCTTAAGCTCTGAACTACATCTAGCCCTTTGAGACAGGGTCTCACTGAGTTGCTTAGGGTCTTGCTTAGAACTTCTGCCTCAGCCTCCTGAGTCACTAGGATTACAGGTATGTAGCCTGAGTTTTAAAGAAATTATTAAGTTCCATCCATTTTCAGGGAGATTTTTGTAAGATATTTTGGTGTAATTCAGATTTTCTTTTTTTCCTTGAATGGGAGAATGGAGAAGAAAAATGAGAGGTATGCCAAACACAGAGACTGCTGTTTACTTTCTTCTGCAGATTCATGTAATTGGGAAACAGCAGTTACCTAGACTTTGTCTACTCCCAGACCTGGGTGCATAACAAAAATTCCAGTGGTTACATCTGCAGCAGCAGGCATGCCCAAGACCTTTGAGGGCATTTGTCTCTGATCTCCCGTTTCCACACTGACCCATCTATGTGGAAGCATCCAGTATAGCCTGGTCCAATGGAGTGCCCTACTGAATTGCTTTCTCTTATATTGCCTTAAGATTTTGTCCACTAATTTCACAGAGAGTATATTTGTTTGTATTTTCAGTTCAAAGATTTAGCCATTTACTTCTCTCAGAAGGAGTGGGAATGTTTGCACTCTGAACAGAAGAATCTATACAAAGATGTAATGTTGGAGAATTACAACAATTTGACCTCACTAGGTAAGTTTACCAATCAAAATTCAGAATTAGTCTTCTGGAATTTTTATGTCATTTATTATGAGTTTTTAAGTGAATGTTTTTGAAATACCTGGCTAAATTTATGATTCTTACTCAACAAAGAATGGTTTGTTCCTTGTGAATTTTGTATCGGGCTTCTCCCTTGGGTACATTTATCTTCCCCATTCCTCTAACCTTCATTTCTCCTTCTGATTCTTAATCTATAGGCTCTTCTTGATAATCATGAACTGATTTTGATTTTGACACCTCAACATATCCTTTTCCCTTTTTTTCCTTGAGCAGGACTTTCTGAAACTAAGCCAAGTGTGATCTCCTTATTGGAGCAGGGGAAGGAGCCCTGGATGGTTAAGAGGAAGAAGGCAAAAGAATGGTATTCAGGTGAGTGATAAGGAACTATACTGAAGACAACATGGCAGTCCTCAGCCAGTCTGCTTGAGAAAAGGCCACACTTCTGAGAAAAGCTTTCTACCAACAAAAGGCATGAGATCTGGGGAGAAACTAAAAATATTCCGACACAGGCTCCAGGTTATTATTACTCCACTTCCCATTCTCTTGCTATTCTATCATTTCCCTCCCATTTCAGACAGGAAGTACCCTCATCCTTCCCCTATAAAAATCATTTTATATGCACTTTGGGTCTGTTTTTCTCCTGTATTTTAGAAACAGCTTTATTGAACTATAATTCTCCTATCATAAAACTCTTTTCACTTAAAGTGTACAATTGAGTAGTTTTTAGTATATTTAGAGTGGAATATTTTCATTTCCTCAAAGTGAAACCCCATACCCATTAATATTCATATTCACTCCCACACTACTTAGGAACTTACTTTCTCCTGAAATGTGAAAACCTCTTCTGCTTTCTTTCTTGTTATCTTATAGATTGGGAGTCCAGAAGAAAAACCAAGACTTTATCTCGAGAGAACAGTTATGAAATTAAATCATTACATCAGCAGATAACAAAAAAACGTTCCAACCTTGAATTCAACAGGGTCAGAGATAGCAGAGAAATCAAATGCCACTTGGAGAGACAGCAGGGGCATAAAGAGGTACAAGTCAAACAAGCCAAAATGACCACTAAAAAACGGCCCCCTGCAGTTGAGTGCATAGCCCCTGGAGAATATCATAGAGCTCATACTGGAGAAAAATCCTGTGAATGTCAGAAATGTAAGAAAGCTTCTGGGAGCCAGTCAC